TCCCTTCCCTCCCCCCTTCTTCCTTCCTTCCCTCCCTCCCTTCCTCCCTCCTTCCCTCCCTCTCTTCCTCCCTGCCTTTCCTTTCCTGTCTTCCATCTGTCCATCCATCCATCCCGGGATTTGAACCCAGGGCCTCATGCACACTAGGCCAGCAGTGCTCTACTGCTGAGCAACAACCCACCGTAGCATCACTCCATTTATTTCTTGCTTGTTTTAAGATAGGGTTATGTAGTGGCCTTGAGCTTACTGTGTACCCCAGACTGGCCTCAAACTCATGCAAATCCACCTGCCTCAGCCTCCCAAGTGCAGGGACTTCAGGCATGCACTACCACGCCTGGCATCACTCTTTCTAAAAGGTACTTTCATAGTGGCACAGGCCTGTAATCCCAGCGCTCTAGGATGCTGAGGCAAGAGAACTCCAAACTCTAGCCCAGACTGGGTACATTAGTGACTTAGGAAGACCCTATCTCAAAATAAAAACCACCAAACAGACTGGGGGTGTAGCTCGGTGTGAAGACCTTGGCCTCAACCCAGAGTACCAGAAAATAAAACAGACAAGTGTGCTTTGAGCATATTAATGAGATTTTTGAGCCACTCTTTATTTTGAAATAAAAGTAGGACAGTTTACAGAAAAATATAACACAATTTAGGTGTAATATTTTACCATCTTTTCCTTTCTTTAAAAGAAAAAAAGAACACTGGACGTGGTGGTGCACGCCTGTAATCCTAGCACTCGGGAGGCTGAGGCAGGAGGATCGTTGCAAGTCCGAGGCCAGCCTGGGCTACAAAGTGAGCTCAAGGCCAGCCTGAACTGCATAGAGAGACACTGTCTCAAAAAGATAAGAAAAAAAAAAAAAAAAGAAAGAAAAGAAAGGAAGGCAATAGACACCTCTTTGCTTCTGACCTTTTGAGGAGTGTGCCCTCCCTGACAGAGAGACTGGTGTCCCCCGTTCTCTGTCACACATTCACACACCACCGGTCCTTGTTTGTATCAGCTGCAGGCCGGGCTCTGCACGCCCCGTGCTGGCCCACGGTTGGTTCTCTACACCCCACTTCTGCGACTCCTTCCCGTCCGTGAGTCCAGCACCTCCGCGCTGACTTCTGCAGTGTGCGCAGCTGCACGTCCCAGCCTTCATCCTCTCCGTGCACTCGAGAGAGACATTGAGTTGTGCGCGATCTCACTCTCCCAGCTGGGCTGTAGGAGCCCGGGTCACGTGTGTGAGCGCAGGGCCTGGGCCTGGTGGGGCCCCTGGGGCGCAGGTACCTGCCCGGCCCCCACTAGCCGCTGCCTCTGGCTTGACCTTGTCACCGTCCCTGTCCCCTGCTGCCTCCTGCGGGTGAGCAGCGCTGCATAGACACGCCGGCCTCGCTCTGGCTGATGTGCCTGTTCGTGTTTCTTTACCTGTTTTTCTGGCGGTTTTGAAGTCGTGCTTTGCTCTGCAGCTCCATTTTTACACCTCTGGGTAATCACGTGTTGTCAGTGTGCTCGTCCTAAGCCTCCCCCGCGGGGCTCTGCGGCTCTCCCTTCGACTTTCTGGGTCTTGTTTTGCACGCTCTTAAGGATTCCTTTCTGGCTCGTGCTTTGGCGGCTTTAAAAGAAACCCTTCGCTGTCCACAGTCTCCTAGGGGTTGGTCTAAGGATTTTGCGAATCTTGTCGGAATCGTTCCAATTTTAGTCCATGTGCCGCCCGAGCGAGCGCTGTCTGAGGATTTTGGAGGTTCCGTTTTCTCGCTCCCTCTGGAATTCGTTCCGTAGACGCGCAGCGTAGCCTGCTAGTTTTGTTTGCTGGGAACGCACAGTCCGGGTGACTCGCCTCTCCCACAGCCTTGAAATGCCACCTGCGAGGTCCCCCTGGGTGCGCGCCTGTTTCTGCACTTTCAAGCGTGTCCCCCCCAACTTGAGGCCGCTGAAGCAGTAGCTCAGGACGTTGTCTTCCCCTCCTGCCTGATCTGAGCGCCTCCCCGGGTTGCGATCTGTGTGGCCTGCTCCTCATGCTGGCCCCACTGGACACAGCGAGTAAACTGAGGCCCGGGGTGGTTAAATGCGCTCACATGGCCGCAGGTCGGGAGGAGTAGGACTTGTTCTGGGTCTTCCGTGGGTCAGCTCCAGAGTCCAAACTCAACCTCCCTCGTGGGTGACAGCGGGAACTTGGAGTGCGGCCTACCGTGGTGTGTAATGGCGACCTCAGGCCTTTCTGCCTGTTCTCTGCCAGCAGCTGGGGGGATGAGGACACTCCTCCTCCAGTCCTGCGCAGAACTGGCGGCTGCTCCGCCCTCCCTATGTTAGCTATCCCTTCTGGTTGCTGAAGAGGCGCAAGGGCAAAGGACAAGCCCTGCCTTCCAGGAGCTTCCGGAACCTTCCGGAACCTCTGTAGTGCGCATGCGTGGGTGTGTATGGCAGCTCAGGAAGATTGCTTAACATTTCTTTCCTTTCTTTGACGTCACAGTTAAAGCAAAAGATTTAGATATCAGAAAGAAAAGCCACAGGAGAATGAAGAAGCCTCCAGTCATGGAGGACAGAGACACCAAGTCGTCGGGGTGCTGGAGGCAGACTGTCTTCTGCATCCAGCTGGCCATCACCCCACTCCTTGCAGGTAGCTAAACACATTCCCAGCAAGTGCTGGTTGTCGTCACGTGTGTGTAGAATTCCACACATAGGACCCAGGTGACCGAACCCCTGCCCTGTATCACTTATTTCATCCTCACCCCTCCCCAGGAACGTGGGGTGGGGGGTAAATGTCTCCCCTGTACAGAGGAGAAAACAGGCCCAGAGAGGTTAAGTACAGTGTCGGAGCTCACACAGCTGGGAAGTGTGAAGCCGGAATTTGAACCTAGGTTTGATTTCTAAGTCCAAGGAAACTTGTGAGGATCATGTCATGACTTTTTGTTTTCTAAGATGCTACTTTTGTAAATGTTTACAAAAACATTTAGTGAAGAGATTGAGGAAAGGGAACCAGCTTTTACTGTGTATTGGGTGTCGGTATTAGGTGACACATTAGATGTGTCACGTCACTTCTCAGGAGAAATTCTCCTCCTGTCGGTGACGCCGTGGCACTAGTGGCAGAGCAGTTACCGTTGTTGGAATCTTTTTTAGTGAAGAAAAACATACTCAGAGAGGTCAAGTGACTTCCCCAGGGCCACACAGCTCAGGGATGGAATAAGAATTTTAATTTTTTGCTTTTTAAGATTTATCACAATTTATAAACTAGGTTTTTTACATTGTGGTAACAACAGATATTTATTACAGTCATATATTTTGATTATGGAAAGCTCAGAATGTATTTTGGATAAAATTATGTGACTTTGGTTTTTAAAAGGATAATTATGAAAGGGGCTGCTACTGCTCTTTCTTTTCTATAATACTAGAAGTCAAACCCAAGGAACTATACCTATCCCTGTCTCATTTTGTTTTTGTTTTTTGTCTTTTTGAGACAGGGTCTCGCTATGTAGTTCAGGCTGGCCTTGAGCTCACTTTGTAGCTCAGGCTGGTCTCGAATTTACAATGATCCTCCTGCCTCAGCCTCCCAATTGCTGGGGTTACAGGTGTGTGCCACTATGCCTGGTGTATCCCTAGCTCTTTTAAGATTTGATTTTGAGGGACCCAGGATATAGCTCACCAGCACAGCACCTGCCTAGCAAGGACAAGGTCCTGAGTTCAATTCCGAGTTCCAAAAAAAAGCAGGGTAAAGATTTGATTTGGGGACAGTCTCACCAAATAGCTCAAGCTGGCCTCAAACTTGAGATCCTCCTGCCTCAGCCTCCCAAGTAATAGAATTACAGACATTTGACATTTGGCACCACACCCTTCTTCCTCTTATTCCTTCGCCTTCTCTGCCTCCCTCTACTGTACTTCCTCCCTCTTCTTTTCCCCTTCTTCCTCCTGATCCCCACTTCTCTCTTTTTTCACGAGAAAGTCAAGCCCTGTACCAGCTGTGTTACCGGGTTTTTGCTGAGATAAAACCACCCCACACAATTACAGAAAGCAAAATCTCACCAGATTAAAGCCCAGAGCTGTCAGGACAGTCATTATCATCATAGCTCTTGGAGTGATGCTGATATATTTTAAGAAAATACTGACTTTTTTTTTTGTCCCCAGAGCTGGGCTTGAACCCAGGGGCTTCTCTACCACTGAGCCCCACCCCATCTTAATTTGTATTTTTTTTGTTTTTGTTTTTGTTTTCATTTTTCTTCCGGTACCAGGAATCAAACTTACAACCTTGCACTTGCCAGGCAGGCGCTTTGCCACTGAGCTAAATCCCCAGCTCCCTTAATTTGTATTTTTAAATGAGCTCTGAGCTGGGCGTGGTGGTGCATGCCCGTAATCCCAGCACTCGGGAGGCTGAAGCAGGAGGATCATTGTGAGTTTGAAGCCAGCCTGGGCTACAAAGTGAGCTCAAGGCCAGCCTGAACTGCAGAGCGAGACCCTGCCCCAAAAAGACGCACACACACACACACAAAAAGAGCTCTGGAAACCAGCCACACCTGTCTTGTTGCTTTCTGATGTCCGCTGGAGGAGACCCTGGCCAGTGCGGTAGCTTTGGAGCCTGTCCAGCACCCTGTGCCCGGGGCGGATGCTGCCGTGGGACTCTCGCGTGACTGCCACTCTGGGCCTGGGCAGACGTCGCTCCTGTTTTGCTGGGAGAAGAGAAGTGCGCGTTGTCTTGGTCTGGGGCGCACGACAGTCCCTGAGGCGAAGCCACGACGTGGCCGGGCCTCCCTTTTCTGTAGCCTGTCCTGCCGTGGCCATGCCAAGCGGCAGTTAACAAAAGAGCTCTGGTGACAGACACACTTCGCATCCTGGCTCAGCCGCTTGCAGAAGGCTGCTGCTTTCACGAAGCGAGGGTGCCAGTCGCCACCTCAGAGCCCGCGTCAAGCCCCAGGGGAAAGCGTGGTGTCAGCTGCTTAGCACGAATCCTTGCACACAGTAGAACCCGGAGGGGTGGCCGGTGTGGAGGTGGCAGCTGGTTCTCCAGGATGCTGGGTGCTGGGCCTTCAGCGCAGAAGATGGAAAGGTGAGCTGCTGCCCTAGACCCGCGGCGTGCTGTGGTCAGGGCCTGGAGCAGCTGCCACTCCAAGGACCAAGCGTGTGCCTGTTTTTTCATAAATAGCGGCATGCGATTATCTATCCCAGAGCCCGCGTAATTGTGTTCGGTAAATATCTCCAGCTTCCAATTAGGCCGTATCATTTAGACAGCTTTTTTCTGTTCTTATAGTGCCAGTTATTGAACCCAGGGCCTTTACACTCGCCAGGTTGCCCAGTCTAACTTGTGATCCTCCTGCCTCAGCCTCGCAGGTAGCTGGGGTTCCCAGCGTTCACAAGCACACCTTGTACATTATTTGTTCTTGAGGGTATTCTGTTCCGCGGTAACCGCCATAGCAGCTCTGCCCTTGGTAGAGCCAGGCGCCCTGTCTAATGATTGTCCCAAGACCACATGGGGCCGCTGGCACTGGGAATGTGGTGAGTGTGGAGAAGAAACTGCATTTTAAGTTTTACCTCATTCTGATTAAATTCTAGTGGCCACATACGGCCAGTAGCTCCCATAATGGATGGCACAGTTCTAGAATAATGGTTCTAGAGGTACCTGGGGAGCTTGTAAACCTGCCAGTGTGGAGACTGCACCCCAACCCGCTTCCAGCAGACCGTGTGGTGACACCCGCATATCGGTGTTACGAGTTGTGTTCTGGGTGATTCAGGAAGTAACGTGTCATTTCTTAAAAGACGATCATCAAGGTTAGATGACAGAAGTTCAGTTTTCTTAGAGAATTGATGGGATTTCAATTTGAGGAACTGTATAAATACGCTGGCTGTGGGCGCTTCCCGATTCTTTTTCACATTTTATCATCTTTACCCCTCCGCGCCCGTGTGGGGTGGTCACCAGTACAGATCTAATGCTGTGCCCCTCCCCCAACAGGACAGCAGGTGGTCATGAGCCGTGCCAATGACAAGACTATCGGCATTTTAGATTGCCTTTTGACCTTAAAAACAGAAGTTCCTATCATGACAGAGGAGCAAAAGCAGGACTTAAACCCCCTGACCATAAAGATCAAGTGCGCTTCCTGCCTGCCTTCACAGCCCGTGCCCATTCGGGAGCTAGAGGTAAGGAGCTGGCCGTCTGCATCAGGAGCACCCACCTGCCTGCCCCTTGTGTGTCATCTCTGATTCTCTGGATAGCCCTGGTCAAAAAAGTCATCACCATCCCATCATCCACATTTGACCATTTAGGATCTCACAGGGAGCCCTTGAGACGAGGTCCTGCCAAATCTGAGGAGTTCCTCCACACCACCGTGCTCTGCCAGCAGGGTTGCCAGCCTCTCTTCGGGAGCTGTGGGTTTTCCTGGGGCAGTAGCAGTGCCTGGCTATAGGAGCAACCAGGTGCAGTGCTGCTGTTTATTCTGAGTTCCCTCTTCCTGCTCCTGGTTGAATCTCTCTCTAGATTCCGTGTCTTCCTCTTTGGTTTGCTCTTTGGTTTTGCTGGAGCACATCCTCCAGTACCTTCTTCAGAAAAGGTCAGTGGCTATTCTACCCCTTCCCCCACTTTTTATGTGTCTGAAAATATCTGTATTCTGTTCTTACACTTGGTAGGTAGCTTAGGTGGAGAATTCTAGTTAAAAATAATTTCCCTTTAGTTTTGAAGGCATTGTTCCATCATCGGTATTCAGTGTTGAACCTTTGTATGAGTCTTATTTTCTACTCTCTCAAACTTTGTAGGGTCTTTTTGTCTTCTGAAACTGCTTAATTGTCGTCATGTGAGTATATCCATGGACATTATAACTTTGGTTTAAAATATGTATTCACAGGAAGTTGTAAAGATTCACAGGAGGGTGGCTCACACCTGTAATCCCAGTGCTTGGGAGGCTAAAGCAGGAGGATCACTGTGAGTTCCAGACCAGCCTGGGCTACAAAGTGAGCTCAAGGCCAGCCTGAACTGCATAGCGAGACCCTGTCTCAAAAAGACCAAAAAAAAAAAAAAAAAGATTCGCGGGAGGACCCTGTATCCTTCTCCTGTGGATACAGTGGTTGTCATACAGTTGTAGCACACTGTCCAGTCATCACTTCGACATTGGTCCAATGTGTGCATACTTCTGCCATTTTATCACATGTGTAGATTAATTGTCATTGCACTCACGCATCACAGCTACAGAAATAAACTTTTAGCACAAAGACACCATTTATACCACCCTTTTGTACCCTTACTTCCTTATACCTGGTAACCTCTAAACTAATTGGTTTCATCTCAAAAATTCTATTCATTTTAGAATGTTACTGTTATGGATTGAATTGTGCTTCCCCCCAAAAAAAAGTGTGTTGAAAAAGAGTGTGTTAGACTGTGGAGGACACTGCCATGGGCTCTAGGTCTTCAGCTGGATTCTTTAATCTTTAGTGTGTGAACAGGTCTCCTGTACTCTATTTGTATGTGATTCTTTGGGTGACTCCTATAAAATAATCCTATACATTATGTGTCCTGTATTGAATTGTTCCCCTTTCAAATCCTGACTACGACACTATCTTAACTCAGTTATTTCTAAGGTCATGATGATGTCCAAGAAAGGTCATGCTGTTGGATACCGAGGGTCACCACTCAATCTTTACATGTGGCAGTTCACCTTTGCCATATAGCATAATGTATTTATGGATATGGAGGGCTAGGATGTGGATATCTTTGAGGGTTAATAGTCTGCCTACCTCAGGAAACACAGTGTGTTTCTTTTTAGACAAGTTCTCACTATGTAGTTCAGACTGGCCTCAGACTCACAATGATTCTCCTGCCTCAGCCTCCTGAGTGCTGGGATTCCAGGTGTGCGCCATCATACCTGGCCAGTAAACACTGTCTGTGATAGTCCCACTATCTAGAGCCCACGGATCTGTCCGTACAATGTGTGGTTTCTGCTGTTTCTCTTTCATGATATCTTGTTTAGCATGCATAGTTCTCTTTGTGAATTTTGACATTTGAAAAATTATTCGTAAATTTATTTTGAGGCCTAGGATTTATCTTCCTTCAAAGAGAATATTTGTTCTTCTGCTAGATTTTTTAAAAAATGTTTTCTCACCGAAGTCTAACATTAACACCCTCAGAAGTCTTTCTGTCCACCTCATAGCCTCTGATCATCCCTCAGGCAGCCCAGCCCTGGAAACCGCAGATCCATCCCCATTCCCAGACTACATTTCCGGGTGTTTCTGGATAATCTTCGTTGGTACTACTCAGAGTACTTACGGTTATAATAGCAGCTTTACACTTATAATTCTAACACCTAGATCGCCTCAGAGCTAGCATCTGCTGATTTTCTGTCTTCCTGATGCTTGGCCAAGCTTCCTGGTTCTTTGTATGTCAAGTAATTTTGAATTCTGTCTTAGAAATTTTAATTGCTCTGAGGTTCTGGGTGTTGTTTAAATACTTGGGAAGATAATGGCTTTCTTTCTTTCTTTTCCTTTTCTTTTTTCTTTTCTTTTCTTTTCTTTTCTTTTCTTTTCTTTTCTTTTCTTCTCTTCTCTTTTCTTTCTCTTTCTTTCTTTCCAGCACTGGGGAGTGAATTCAGGGACTTCACTGAACTATATAGCCAGCCCATTTTGTTTTTGGTACTGAGACAGGGTCTGACTGAGACACTAAGTTGCTTGGACTGGGCTCAAACTTGCAATCCTCCTGACTCAGCTTCCCAGAGCAATGAAATCACAGTGCCACCATGCCAACCTCTTTTTATTGAATAATATACCCAGTTAAGATCAAGTTGAAAATTCCAAATCATGTTCTGTATAGGTTGTGGTTACAAAGTCGGTCAAAGATTTTGTGGTGCTGTTTAAGTCTGCCCTGCATGTGTGCTGCTAGGGGCCAGCCTGAGACCTGGGCAGGGGTCTACTCTGTGGATTGGGACTCAGGGGTTCTGTGGGCTGCTTAGGATCTGATCCGTGCAGGCACGGTTCACGGATGAGCCCGTGAGTGTAGAATGGACTTCCGGGGTTCCGTTTCTTGGTTTCCCTCCTTCCTACAGTCTCCTGCATGTTCTCCAGCTCTGAAGGACCCCTTCCAGGTCCTGTGGCTGGGAGCGGGTGGCTTTGGGGTTCCCACTCTGCCATGTACCTGTGCGACAGGGTCTCTCTTTGAGGCCACGTGGTAGGGAGGTGCACCGAGGAAGAACGGCAGTGGAGGTCCTCCCTGCCTTTTTTTAGTTCAGTACATGTTCGTGATACATAATGGAAACATTCATGGCCGGGGCTGCTACATGCAGGTATCACACCTTAATCCTTTTTTCCACATAACCTCTGTTCGGAGAGAATTCCCTGCTCAGATTTGTAGATGCTTCCAGCTGCTGCTGCCGCCACCACGCCACCACCGAATAGCAGCTTTGACCTTGAACTTTCCCCGGAGCCAAGTGAGGAGAACAACAGGACATTTCTCCTGTATTCTTGGTCCCTCAGAGGTCTCCTCTCCTACTCTTTGGACCAGAAAGAGAAGGCTTGTCTTGGAGCTTGATACACAGTTCTAGGATTCAGGCTTCCTTTGAGCTCAGTCTGGGACATAAACGAGGAAAGCAAAGTGCAGGAAGCTTCTGGCGCTATCAGTTGCCCTTCGGGTGTGGTACTTCTTGGTCTGTTCAGGGCCTGGAACTTCTGCCCTGGGTTCTCAGCTGCTTTCTGTGCAAGGGCCAGGGTGGCGCATGCTCGCTCCATGTAGCTGGACTGCCAAGCTTGTCTTGTACTATTTGAATGCTTTTATTATAGACATGTAGATGTCTTTTTATAGTGTGGATACAAGTCCTTTGTTGCATATCGTCTTAGTCAATTTGGGCTGCTGTAACAAAAATACCATAAACTAGGTGGGTTATAAACAGCATAAATTTACTTTTCCCAGTTCTGAAGGTTGGCAGGGCCTAGATCAGGGAAGCAGCAAAATCAGTATCTGGGTGGGCTCCATTCCTCATAGTCAGCGCCTTCCCGCGGTGTGTGCACATGGCAGAAGGGGCCAGGGAGCCTTCTGGGACCTCTGCTATAGGGGCACTAATCCCAGTCCTGCGGGGGTGTCCTCAGGGCCTGATCGCCTCCCACCGGCCTCGGCTTCTAGTACTATCTTATCGGGGATTAGGGTTTTTGTTTTTTTGTTTTTTGTTTTTTTTTCAAGGATTCGGTTTTAACATGCGAATTTGAGCAGCACAAACATTTATTCCATCTGGCCTGGGATGATGCTCAGGGGCAGAGCCCTTTCCTAGCATGCACAGGCCCTTGGTTTGATCCCCAGCGCTGCAAACAAAACAAAACGACGTATTTAGACTTGCACAGATATAAATGCATGCTAAATATTTTCTCACAGTCTGGATCTTGACTTTAATCTTCTTTTTTTTTTTTTTTGGTTTTTCTCCGGTACCGGGAACCAAACTCACGACCTTGTGCTTGCCAGGCAGGCGCTTTGCTGCTGAGCTAAATCCCCAGCCCCGACTTTAATCTTCTTAATCGTGTCTTTGACGAAGTCTAATATATCAACTTTTTCTTCTTTTTTTTGAGACAGGGCCTCACTATGCAGCCCAGGCTGGCCTCGAACTCAGGTGAATCTTCCTGCCTCAGCCCCCTGAGTGCTAGGATTATAAGCGTTTGCCACCACGCCCGGCAACTTTTTCTGTTAGTGGTTTTTGTGCCCTATTAAACATTTTTCCACCCCACATTCATGAAAATATTGTGCTTTGTTTTCTTCTACAAGATTTGTGATTTTAGCTGTTGCGTTTAGGTCATAAACATGGTCATGACCATGCGACTGATGTCTTTATTTAATCTTTAATTTCTCTCTGCAGTGTTTTTATACTTGTCAGCTTTCATTTGCTTTCTCCCTAAGTTCTATGCTATGGTAAATGGTATTTTCAAAACTACCTTTTAAACTATTCATTTAGTAAACAGTAAATTGTGCTACCAGAGCTTTTACCCTGATGACATTCCTTCATTTTTGCAAGGTTCTCCAGTGTTTCCCGTTTGTTTTATGTATCTGATCATTCTAATGCTGTCTGCTTTTGTGAGTGGGACCTTTTTCCTTCAGCGTCTTGTGACTTTTGCTGGGATCTCATGGTCACCGGAACTTGGATGGTGGAAATTCTTCTGCAAGTGAATTTCTCCAGGGACATTTTTAACTCTCTACCAGGTACCTGGGAGCACTAGTGGTTCAGGAATATTTTACACTACATTCTCCGCTGTGGCTGAGAATAAATAGTACCCTTGGAGCATAAAGTCAGACCTCGGACCTGTGCAGGCTCAGCTTTTGCTTATAAAGTCTTTGTGGTGAGGTTGAAGTCTTTGCAATAAAGCTGCCTTCTTCCTGAACGCAGCTTCGGGGGCTGGGGATTTAGCTCAGTGGCACAGCACCTGCCTGGCAAGCGCAAGGTCATGAGTTCGATTCCCGGTACCGGAAAAAAAAAAAAACCAAAAAACAAAAAATAAATATGAGCAAGATCTGAACGCAGCTTTACTGCCACCTCCTCCATACACTCTATGGCCCCAGGCTCCTGTGGGGCTTGGCTTCGCAGGGTTGCAGCTTTCAGCATGGACACACAGGCCGCAGCAAAGGGGAGCTTGTGCCAGCCCTGCAGGTAGATGTCTAGACATCGTCATTTTATCAGTATTTTTGCTCCTTTTTTTTTTTTGGTGGCCCTGACAGTGGAACCAGGGCTTCACCCAGGTGTACCACTGAGCCACACGCTGGCGGGCCTGTTAATCCCCTTTTGAAAACTCACTTAGCTCCCCCTTTTCTGTGCCCAGCCGTGGGGCAGGAACTAGAAACGCAGGTGGGAAGGGACGCTTTGGAAGGCGCTTGCCGCTTGGCAGGGAAAATAGCGCTTGGACTTCGGAAGCCCTTGTGTGTGCCGGCCCCATCCTGGCCCCATCACCACCCGCGCGAAGCCACGTGACCAGGGGTGACCTGCAGAGCGGGCTCCTTGTGGGTGCTCGGGGGGAGGAAACACGGGTTCCCATGGCCGCAGCAGTGAGTGTGACCTTGGGATGCCAGTGTCCCGTGCTGGGAGCCTCCCTCTCCTGGGCAGTGACGGCCGCCGCCCCTGTGACCTGCTGCTGCCCGTTCTCTCCCAGCGGCTGTGCACACCTGTGTACTGCAGGTACCAGTTCCATACGACTCCGGTTCACCAGACCAGCGGGGAGCCCCACGGAACCCATGTTTATTTCCATGACATCAATGTCATCTTCCTCGGGGCCATGCCCCCTGGTGAGCTGCGGGAGTACCTGGAGGGGCCCTCCATGGTGGTGGAAGTTCACGACCGGGACCGGAAGTTCGAGGAGTCCTCGCAGAAGCCCATCCTGTTTGGAGAGGACCCCCTGGATTCCCACCTCAACCTCCAGGCCTTCATCTCCCCTGCAGACACAGAGAACAACCCCTTTGAGTCCCACCAAAAGCTGTGGGACCCTTACGGAGTTGCCCGGGTCAGTTTTGCTGACCTCCTCCTTGGCCACAAGTACTTGAACTTGGTTGTCCCCATCCACAACTGTGAGCCCAAGTGCACGGGCCATGCCCAGGGCAGCAGGAGCATGAGGCCTGATGTCCTCCAGCACAGCCCGATGCCCATGGGCAACTACCTGGAGGCCGGCTCCCTGCTCAAGCTGCGCGCAGACATCGCAGTGCCAATGAGCCCCGCGGCCGGAGCCCCTCAACCAGACCTCGCGGAGTCCCAGTTCGGCCGCATCATTTTTGTGTTTGACTTCAAGAAGCTGTGCCTCCTCCACGGCCTGCTGCAGGATATCACCACAATCAACGCCAAGGCCCTGGAGCTGGAATCCTACCCAATCCGCAACGTCCAGCAGATCCTGTCGGCCTTCAAGATGCGGGTGAAGGTGCAGGACCAGCCATCCCTGGATGTGCTCACCGGCTTCCATGTGCTGGACGGCACGGTCCACCTCTTTGTCCTCGAGGGCTTGGCAGAGCAGGGCCTCAAGCAGCTGTGGAACAGCCACCAGAGCCGGTAAGGGCTTCCTTCCGCATTTCAGGAGAAAGCCACAGCGTCCAGGGGTGGAGGGGAGGGAGATCTTCCAAAGCCAAGGCCGGTCCTTGTCCTGGTATCTGAAAGGGAGATGTTGGTGCCTTCCCCTCGGGGTTCATCAGAATTGGTGGTGTTTGGAGGAAGGAAGGATTTCGGGGTAGACGGAGACAGGTTAGTTCAGAAGATGGGTACCGCCCTCAGGCTTTTGAGCCAGGCCTACTGACGAATAGGGCAGAGGGTTCCATGTTGGATTCAGCTCAGCACAGGGAAGCCCTGTCTGATTATTTTGAGGCTCGGAGGGCCACCCCAGCTGCAGGAAGTTGTTGTTCTCTGGAGGCTGTGGGGCAGCCGGGCATTTCCCCTCAGTGGGGACTTTGTAGAAGCATTAAAGTCTGCTTGGGGCCAGAGCAGGTAGCTGCTCATGCTCTTCCATTCTTTAGTTTTGGTGAGGTCATAATTCTCTCTTCTATTTGGCAAGTATCCTCAAAATAGAGTTTCCTTCTTTTAGTGTGGAGGCCCCCTCTGTCCTCAGAGGTCAGCTGGCCCAGGCCCCCCGTGGAGACAGCAGGGTGTCCGGAAGTTGCATCTTTGTGTCCAAGCAGGGCCTGCAGCACTAATGAGCCGGGGTGCCAGGGAGGAGCCCTCCCGTGTCCGAGTATTTGCACACCCGTGATAACCAAGCACACATCCACACGGAAACGTGTGCACAAGTGTTCATAGCAGCTCTCTCTATGATAGTCAGAAAGTGGAAATAACCCAGATGCCTACCAGCTGGCTAGCAACATGTGGTGTATCTGTGCAATGGAATATTATTCAGCCCTGAAAAGCAATGAAGTATTGGTCCACTCGCTTCAACACGGATGTGCCTTGAGAACACTACACTAAGTAGAAAAGGAGCCAGGGACAAAAACACCCATCGTATGACTCCATTTATGTTAAATGTCCAGAAAAAGCAACCACACAGAGGTGGAGGTGGAGCAGTAGTTGTCATGGACTCAAGGGACAGGGAAAGGTGGCTGATGGGTAGATTTTCTTTTCAGGGCAATGAGAATATTCTAGAATTAGGTAGGATGTATAGATGCATGACATGGTGCATAGACCAAAAACGATTCCACTGTGTACTTCCTTTTTTTGCTTCCCTCTCCCCAGCCCCCAGTACCAGGAATTGAACTCATGACCTCGTGCTTGCCAGGCAGGCACTGTGCCACTGAGCTAAGTCCCCGGCCCCCCACCATGTACTTTTAGAAGACTGAATTTTAAGCTGGGAACAGGGACTGGCCACACCTTCTAGTTAAGGTAAAGGCTGGCCTGCTGAAAAGACTAGCCATGTGATTTAGGGTAGGGCCCTGGGTGCAAGCACAGCCGATCTGGAGCCCAGGGCCACCATGGGGAAGTGAGTGACCGTCCCTGCTGTGAGCGCATGGCTCCTTGGGTGAGCCGCCCGAGCTGCCTGGACTGGTGCTGCCGTCACTCTTCGGGACCGTGACTGCACGAGGAGAGGGCAGTGGAAGCTGGTGTTGGAACGTCCTAGACTCTGGCTTGGCTGGTTCATAGCTGATGTCTGTTGCCCGTGATAAACCACTTCCGTGATACGATAGCTGTGGGTCCCGTGAGTCCTCCCATGTTGAACCTGCGGGTGGTCTGTAAGAGTGGTTTTGGGGACTGTCCCTTCACGCTTTGCAGTCTGACTCGTTCTGTGTATGCAGTATATGAACTGTGTCTCAAAAGGTTGTTTCCAGTGGCAAAGTAAAGTACATATGTGGGCTGCGGGTATAACTCGGTGCTTGCCTAGCATATGCAAGGCCCTGCGTTTGATTCCAGCACTGATCAAAACAGGTGTTTGTATTTGTGTGTGCGTGTGTGATATACGTTCATTGAGTTTGGTTTAATGAGCCTAGACATAAAAAATTAACTAGAGCCAGGTGTGGTAGTGCACACCTGTAATCCCAGCACTCGGGAGGCTGAGGCAGGAGGATAGCCATGAGTTTGAGGCCAGCCAGGGCTACATAGTGATTCAAGGCCAACCTGAACTACATAGTGAGACCCTGTCTCACCAAAAAAAAAAAATAATAGGGGGCTGGGGATTCAGTTCAGCAGCACAGCACCTGCCTGGCAAGCGTGAGGTCATGAGTTCAATTCCCGGTACAGGAAAAAAAATAAACTAGAAAAATTCATATGCTTAGAAATTAATACACTTATTTCTAAGTAACCTATGAGCCTAAAAATCACAGTGGAATTAGACATTTTTAATGGGACAATAATAAAAACATGTACTATTGGAATGTGTGGGTGATGTCAAAATATTACATAGAGGCTCATTTGGGGGTGAAACCTCTGCCTGGCTCCCCCAGCCTAACTAGTGGTCACCACTAGGGGCAGCTGGCAGAGGGAGAACCATGACCAAGGAAGCAGAGCAGGTGGCGACACTGTCGGAGGTCTGAGCTTTGAGGCAACAGCTGAGCGTGGAGGAGCGTGAGAAATGGGCACGCTTGCGGACTGCGGACATGAGGGACCGCACACAGGCATCCGGGGCCTTCGCTCTGTGACTCGCTCTTGTGTTGACATGTGGCTGAGGCAGTGTGTGCTGAACACACAGGTTGCTGGGCCTGTAGCAGGGCTCAAGAGAGGACTGGGGAAGCCTGGGTCCTTCCAGCCGTGAGGACAGTTCGTGCAGGTGGTGTAAAAGAACACAACTTGAGAGGCTTCTCTGCAAAGGACGGCTAGATTAACGTGTGGAAGTCAGGCGGAGTGAAACAGAGAGGGTCTGCAGTTGTAACTCTTGATGATCAATGATACAGGTGATGAAACGTGTTCAGAACCACTACACTGTTACTGGGCAGAAGTGTGCAGTGGAAGGGGCCCTTTTTAGAGAAGAGACGTAGTCTTCCGATCACAGAGAGGCCATCGGGGAGGATCTGGCAACTTCACGGCTTGGGGAGGAAACTGCCGGAGGTGGAGTGGTGACATGGGAGTGCCGGGAGCGATTGCTGGTCAGGTGATATGTGTACATTTCAGGCAGTGGCTAGAACTCCCAAATGGCCTTTGAGAGCCTCACCCCTGGTGGACCCCCACCTTCTCCCGGCTCCTCAATTTTGTAGTTGAAAGAAACTACTGACCTAGCTTCCAGACTAGCTGTGACATTGTACATTTCCACTGCCAATAGGTGGGAGATCCAGTTTCTTTGCGTCCTTGCCGATTTTTGATATTATGGCCACTTTTTATCTTAGCTATGACAGTGGATGTGTAGGCATAGCTCACTGTGGTCTTAGTTAACTTTTCCCCACGACCAGTGATGCTGAGTGTCTTTTGTGCATTAATATTTGCCATCTCTGTATCCTGTTTGGTAAAATGTCTCTTCATGTCCTTTGCAGTTACGGTTTAGGTTGATTGGGATGTCCCCCTAAAGCCTCAGGTGATCATAGAAGGGACCTTGGGGAGGTGATTGGATCACACGGGGCTTATAAAGGCTTGCTGGGAGGAGGAGGGGTCTGGTCAGAGGAGGCGGCGCACGGTGGGTGTGACTCAGAAGGAAGGCTGCGTCTCCCTTCCGTGCTCCTCCCTTGAGTCTGCTTCCCCTGCACCATGACTTGAGCACTTCTCTCTGCCTTGCCCTTCTGCCGTGCTGTTTCTTCTTTAGAGCCAGCTGACCATGACCGTAAATGTGACCCAGTATAAACCCCCTCTCCTTTAAGTTTGGGGTGTCAGATATGGTGTCTCAGCAATGAAAAAGTGATTGAGACATTTTACTCATTTTCTTTTTCTTTTTCCTTTTCTTTTTTGTCTTTTTGAGACAGGGTCTCGCTATGCAGTTCAAGCTGGCCTTGAGCTCACTTTGTAGCTCAGGCTAGTCTTGCACTCACAACGATCCCCCTGCCTCAGCTTCCCAAGCGCAGGGATTACAGGCGTGCACCACCACACCCAGCTACTGCTTATTTTCTAACTGGAGTATCAGGGGGCTTTATTGTTGGGTTTTTAAAATGTATTTTAGATTTGAGTCCTTTGTGTGACAGCAAGGAATCATATGTATGTGGCCACAGAAATTTCAGGTTCAGATCTGCACAAAAAGCCACACAATGAATTTTAAAAGATGAAAGTGAGTTTCTTATAGAAGTACAGCGAAGGGCCAGGGATATAGCTCAGTGGCACAAGTACCTGCCTGGCAAGCACAAGGTCCTGAGTTCAGCTTCTGGTACCAAAAAAAAACCCCTTAAAAGTACGGCAGATATGAGCATGGTCAAATAATACATTACCACACAACGAGGCAGGGGACAGCAACAATGATGAAGGGGAGTCCTTTGGGAAAGGATCTTGCATGAGATGGAGCCTTCAGCAGGCAAGAGAGAAAACACCAGATCACGCCCAGGTTCTCAGTTTGTCACATACTGTGTTCAGACAAAAGTGACTTGGTGCCCACAGCCCTGCATGGTTAGAAGGACCATTGCCAGTCCTGGCTGGGCTCTGAGAGTGATCAGCCCTTTAGGTGTTAAGGGTTATCTCTATACTCTTTGCTCAGGAGATTGCCAGGTTCCCTGCAGCAAGGTGTGTAACTAAGGTCATTTCAAGGAATATGCACATTCCAGGTGATTCTCATCACTTTAGCCCTTTCCTGTACACTTACTGATTTTTCTTCTTTTATAGATCATACTTCTGGTGTCAAGCATAAGAATTATTTACAAAGCCTTAGGTACTGAGTATTTTCACCTAAAAGTGCTACAGTTTTATACTTTGCATTTAAATCTCTCACTTATTTTAGCTTAATTTTTGTATAAGGTGTGAGGTTTAAATTTAGGTTTAGTTTGGTCTTTTTTTTTTTCGGTACTTACGGGTATCTAATTTTATAGCACCATTTGTTGAAAAAATATACCCTTTTGTATATTCCTTGGGATTTTCTTCAGAGACATGCAGTATTATTTTATATATTGTTTCTGTACCTTTGTCAAGAATCAGCTATTCATAATTGTATGGATCTATTTGTTGGACCTCTTCTCTGTTCCATTGGTCTGTGTGTCTATCCTTTGGCAAATACCATAGTCTTGGTTACAGGAGCTAATTGAGTAATGATGCCTTCCACTTTATTATTCTTTTTCAAAATTATTTTAATTATTTTAGTTCCTTTGCTTTTTCATGCAAGTTGTATGATAAGCTGTTTATGATCGTAAAAGCTTTGCTAGAATGTTGTTAGGAATTGGGTTAAACCTGTATGTCATTTTGAGGAGAAGTGTACCTTTGCTGTGTTGAGTCTTCCAGTCCATGAACATGGTATGTTTCTTCCAGTCCATGAACATGGTATGGTTCTCCACTTATATCTTTGGTTTCTCTCCTCAGCATTTTGCAGTTTTTAGCATATAAGTTTTCTACATGTTTTGGTAGATTTATATCTAGGTATTTTATTTTCTGAGAGTAAATAATACTGTATTTTTTATTTCAGTTACCAAATATTCATTGTTAGTACATGGGAATAGAGTTGGTTTATATATGTTGATCTCATGTCCTGCACCCTTGCTACACTAGCTTATTGAGGAGCTTTTGTTTTTATCTTTGTCTTGGTACATTCCTTGGAATTTTCTACATAGATCATCATGTCATTTGCAAATGGGGATAATCAGATTTCTTTCTGTCCTGTCTCTGTGCCTGTGTTTTCTTGTTACGGCATGTTTGCAGCACTGTTTTTTCCAAGAGTGGTGACAGCAGACATCTTTGCTTTGCTCTGAGCACTAGGAGAAGAAAGTATTCAGTTTTCCAACCATGGGTCGTATGTAGGGTTTTAATAGATGTCCTTTATCAGTTTGAGGAAGTTCTACTCTTCCTTATTTGCTGGGGGTTTTCTAATTTGCTGGCTCACACAATGCATGAAAGTTAATTCCAGGTAGACTTAAACCCTACTTTTAAACTATTAATTTAGAAGCTGGGCATGGGGGTGTACACCTGTAATCTCAGTACTTGGGAGGCTGAGACAGGAAGATCATCACAGGTTTGACACCAGCCTGGGTTACTTAGGGAGCTCAAGGGCAGCCTGAATGACATAGTTTAACCCGGTCTCAAAAAATTTTTTTTGAATTTTTTTTTTAAAAACTAAACTATTAACTTTGAAAGAATTATAGATACACAAGTTGCAAATACAGTCAGATAGTTTCCATGCACCCGTAACCCAGCTCTGCCTGGTGGCGACATCTTCCATAACTGTAATGTTTTGGTTGATTGAAAAAGGACACCTAACTAGACTATCTTTGATTTCACCAGAAAATCCCTTTTTGAAAAGCAAAACTAGAGCATTGAGGTGATAAATTAGAACATGTCCATGACCTCACAGTAGAAAAACAGCTCTTGAAAGACAGTAGTAGAAAAAATAAGGGGAAAGAATGATACATTTGGCTGTAAAAATCAGCAATTTCTATTCATCAAAAGACACCATAGGAATTGGAAAACGACAAGCTACAAACAGGAAAAAATGACCACAATGTGTAGAACAGAACTAGTAACCTGAACATGTAAAAGACACCTTGTGAACAAGTAAGAAAACTGTAAAAACCTAGGAATTAGCACTGAGCTAGGACCCCAGCCCATGCCCGCCCGCCAGGCTGCATCAGTCGCTAAAGTTGCCTAATTCAGCAATCTTCCTGCCTCAGCCTCTCAGGCATGCGCCACCACAACTCGCCCTTCTGTTTTAAAGGAGCAAAAGTAAAACCTCGACTAGACAACAAAGCCACTTTTCCCAGAACAGCGGAGCTTCGGGAATGCTCTCACCCACGGCCTTCCCTTGCAGAATCCCCAGGTCCCAGCGTGGGGAATACAAGGTGCTGTACAACTCGCAGCTGCTGTTCCACCGCAGGCTCTACGCAGACCTGGAGACCATCCTGTACCACGTGCACCTCTCCACGCCCGTGGCGCAGCTCATGAGGCAGCAGGCGCTCTACGTGCGCAACGCGGTGCCGCCCACGGTTTTCCAGGCACTGACCAGGTGGGGCCCGGGGTGGGCGGGCGG